GCATGAGATGATATGAGTTTCTAATTTAAGGCAATATTTCTCTACAAGTCATGCAGAGATGATAGCAACCTGAATGGAGCAAAAGAAGAATTGGAAGTGCTTTTTCTTTAAACAAATTAGAATGATTTCAACATCACTTCAGGTTTTAAAGAAAAACAGCTTCAATAGTTCTAGTGTTGACAAGAGTGAGGGACTAAGAGCACTCCGCCACAGGCATCACGCAGGCAGGTGAAGTGCAAGCTTTCACTTCATCTCTGCTAATGCATTTCAACTTCCTAACGTCCAAGCCATGGGCCTCTTTGGCAGAGATGGCAAACCACACTAAACTGCGTGGGGGTTCTGCGATACGGATTGACGCCCACGAGGGAACGTGGAACGCTGTCACTTCAGATTTGGCTTCACAACTGAACTCAGAATGCCTCTTTCGTGACAGTCTTGATTTCCCACTCATCCCAGCGTGACTCAATTTTAACAGGGATATGTGTCGTATCAAGAAACACACAAACAAAAACCTTTTGGTAATTTCCATTCATAGTGACAAGTTCAATAGAAATTTCAAACCTCAACAGCGAAAGACATGCAATTTCAAGCCTTAAAAACCACCCCAAAATCTAAAATTGTCACTTTCTAACACTTGCTTCCATATTCAAAACTGCACTTCTATCTCTACTAACTACTACTCTTAAAATTATCAAATTCATCTAATTCTATTCTCAGCAACTAAGTGAAAATTCAGGAAGCAGCAAATGCAAGACCAGACTGTAGAATGTGCAATATTGCAACTGCCTGGTATACATCCAGTTTCTCCTTGCTCTCAGGAGACAGCATTAGAGTGGTTATTTCTATCTTCAATATCACATGTGAATTCCAGTAGCTAGATCCACCTAAAGCAGACGATATCTACCTGCTGGTCTTTATAAGATAAACAGCAAAAAAAATCCATTAAATCTCTCATCCTAGCTGGTCTAAGAAGTCTCTGCTTGTGAAGCTTCTTCTCAAGCTTCCTGGTTTCCATCTCCTCCTAAACATAAGGGGAACCTGTGAAGTATTTAAGCTGCAGGTGTAACTGCATTAAACAAACACAAATCAAAAATAGATGTGGCAACAGAAGAATCAATCCTGGAGAACAATCAAACAAAAGCCTCACCACAGCTAAGTGTTACAGTAGTTGCCTAAAATTATTGCCACACTGCTCTACATAATGAAGCTCAGAACCCTTGCTGCAGGACACATTACACATTCTACACAGAGCAAAGAAAGACTGCTGCCTCCCAAATTAGGCATTCCCTCCTCTCCACATAACACCAATTGGTTCTTCTTTTGTATTTTGTGTGGGTCTGCCACACGGCAGTGGTATCTGACTTGTGCTAGGCAGTATTTTCCAAGACCACAAATCTGGCTTCAACTTTAAAAATCACTAAACCAAACTGGGCAAAACTTCACGCTTATAGGAAAGAAATACTGCAAGAAAGTGGTACAGAGTTAATAATTAAACAGAATATGAATGTCTAATTCCAATTTTATTGAACAATGACTTAAAGAAGAGATGTAGTCCCAGCATTGTGACAAAACCTAGCTATCTAAAATCTTCAAGACAGTACAGCTCAAGCCAGTGAAACAAATTTGCTCATGGCAATATGGGAAGAAAATCTTTGTGATGCAGAAACAGATGTCACTGTACATTTTTCAGAATGTGGCATTACCCCTCTGCTTCATATGCATGGTTTCATGGGATCTATCTAAATTACATTTCATAAACACTCTATTAAATTCTTTATTCTAACAATATCCAAGTCAAGCAAGAATAGCATAGTCTATATTTCAACTTCTTATTTACAGAAAAACTTACATTAGCTCAACAACCTAACTTAGGAAGACCAGCCAAAACAACAACAAAAACTGTTTCATTATATTAAAAAGCCTCAATTACAGAAATGCTGACACAGCCAAGTTAATTATGACCAACATCAGACATAGAGACGAGTAAAAAGTGAAAAGTGCAGTTAGAACACTTACTGTGACAAGCCCAGTGACTGTAATACCAGCTGCACAGTACTTCAGTATAATTAAATTGCACTTCTTATATAATGTAAGTTAAACGGCAGGCAAGAGGGAAGTTAACTATCTGCCTTCTGGTACAGGAATGCAAGCACTGCAAGGATATTTTAAAAATATTTTTAAAAAGAGCAGCGCAAGTAGCATGTCAGCAGTGCCAAAATAAAATCTGGTTATCTCTCACTGGTGAGTATTCCCTTTTACTCTAGCATTATGACTTTTGCAGAAACTGAGCAGTACATAAGTACTTACGTATTGAAGTACAAATCCAGTGCATGCGTACTTGAGATTGAATTCTGTTATATATAGACAAGGGCAGGTTGAAGTAAAAAAAACAAAAAAATGCCTTACCCTGTGATGCACTCACTGCCCTTTCCCTGCCTTCTCTACAGTCTTCTGTTTATGGCAGTAAAATCTTGCTGAGTTTAATTAATGCACAGAATTCACTTCCTTATTTTCATTTTAATTACAAGAAGTATAGATTTCTTATGAGTTACCTCGAACTGGTTAACTGAAGTAACCAGGAGTAGTAGTATAGCCCTGATGTGATGGGAATTACTGTTACTGTAGCTTTTTGCCCAATTTCTGGAAAATATTTTGCAGTCAGATTCAAGGTTTACTCTGCCATGGATGCTGTATGAGCTGGTGACTGGTCTAGACAAGCAAAGCCTTGGATTCCCCTCCACTCCCAAGGGGATTACCTGTCTGTTTGGAGGAATGGTGGGCTACATGTTGTGGCCATAAGCTACGGCAGCAATTTTTGAGGAACAAGAAAGCCAGCTTTATTGTAGCCTAAATAATCAGAACTTAGAAGTCATGGCACTTGCAATAGCCTTATTGCCAAAGGGACATATCCTGCCTCTTGAGCCATGAAGCAAGCACTGACATCTGTGCAGTTGCAGCTGTGGTTGTAACAGTATCAAGCTCATTTAAAACTGACTTTTTTGAATCTATACACACCTCCAGACACAAAAAAGTCACCTGAACTGATAGAAAAGTGCAACGGATTCAAATGACAGTAAAGTCAAGTCATTAGTTTTGTCATTGTTGATATTCTAGGATGTAAACAGAAATCCAAATATTGCCAGAAATCAGGTTGCAACCTGGATGACCCAGTGTCATTCACAGATTCTGCAGTCTATCTTGATTTAAATCTTACAGCTTATTTTTTTCTTACCTGTATCCAGTTTATAACACCTGAATATTAAAAAAGGCTAAATATATGTAAATTCAATATGGGATTAACAATTTTACCTACAAAAAAAGTACTAATAAAGTATATATAGCAGTTTTACATAGGAACAACATAACTGCTGTAACAAAAGAGAAAGGTATTCTCTCTTGTTACTTATGAGCTACGTTAATGGGACTCTCTGAAAGACTCCAGTTCTGTACTACTATTGCAAGGAACTCTTATAAAAAGTTCTTCAAAGTTTGCAATAATTTATGAAATTACTTTAATTTTCTAGGTTAGACTTTGTCTTCTACAAGAAACAGTATGAAGGTCTGCAATGAGAAGAGTAGTAGGACAGGAATAGGTCTATGAATCATTTTTTCCCTTACAGATAGGATATTATCATCCATCATCCATCAGTCACAACAAAAACTGGAAGGGAAAGGACAAAGTTAAGTGCCTTTCACTCAGTTTCTGCATCTGTCCATGGGTGACAACCCTATTGAGCAAAGAGCAGATCTCATTTTAAGCTCCTGTAATCTAAACCATAACTGAAAATTAAAACATACACATTGTGAAAATCTGCTCACATCCCCCTTCCCTGGTTATCCTTAAATAGAAAAAAAAAAATAACCTTAGTCTATAAGAAATCCAGACTCTGTATGTAAAATATTCCACACATTCTCATTAAAGAGCACAGTGGGGAGACAGATTCAAACTCTTGGCTCGCAGAAGGCCAAAATTTAAACTATCAACAATTTTCTACCTGAAAAAAAATAAATTGCTAAGTCCTCTACATATATAACTTTATTAATGTGAGCAGTTCAAAGACAGTCTCAAGTATCGAGTTATGCCTTTAATTTCCTTCTCATGGATAATGAACGCATACACAGTCATGGCATGAGCTTGCACGGTCTTCAAGGGACAATTACGGATATGCAAAGAGCAATTCAGTTAATTAAATACAGGCATCAAGGGCTATTTTTGATGCCCAAGAGAAATCTATCAGCAGGAGTCCAGCTGCCACGAAAGCCAAACACAGATCTCCCACAGGTCCTATGGTATCTTCTAGCTCTGTAAGCCTGCCTTAGACCACCTGGAGCACATAAAATGGCACTCAAGGTCTATGTTTGACACTGAAATTACTCAAATAGTCCCATCTAACTCCATATATCATCTCAGGTGACTGTTTCTCAGCGTCAAAAGCTGACAGTGTAACCAAAAGCACACAACATTGGAAACAAAAATGATTCACCTTTAATAGTGACACAGCAGCTGTTGGACTCTTACAAATCAGTAATAGCAGCAGCCACGGGAAAGCTGCAGGTATCACCATGCATGAGATTAACAATATGATCCTCTTAAATGTCAGGTTACAGTCTCTATTATCATTCTGATATGGCTGTCTAAGTAAAATACTATCAGGAACATATTTCTGAAAAAACATTCACAGTGGTATTGTATCAGTCTATTCCATATGTTCTTTGCCATCAGAAAGCCCACAAGAGACACGTTTTATTTGTCTGGAGTACTTGTACCGTTTCACGTAATCACTTAAACAACACTAAAGGGCCCATCTTAAATCCATGGTTCTCTTTCTCTAATATAGCAACAAAAAATAAAGCGCATTTTTGGTGTAAGAAAATGAAAACCAATTCCACAAAAATCCATTTTCCCAATCTGCAGACTTGCTGAAGACAACCAAAGAACAACATGACGAGAAACTCAATCTACAGCAAGATTTATGCAAGAAAGGAAGCAAAGCACTTACCGTGTCTTGAGATTTATCTTTGACATCGTAGACTGTTAGCTTTATTTTAGTCTCCTCATAGATGGGGTATTCCGGTGGGAACGTCACACCAGTCAAAAACAGTGGATCTCTTGTACCCTGTGTAACACAAGTAAACATTGAGTAAGGTAAGAGCTGTGCAGGGTGCCAGTACGGATGCACAGAAACTGTGAGGTCCTCAAAAGAAGTTAGCCTTCTAACGGCAGAGATGTGTGAGCAGTTCAGTAGTATTAAATCAACAGGAAAACAGGACAGCTTTAAAACTTTGTCAGGGAAGTTTCAGAAAAATTTTCTAGGAAGTTTTTTTAGCAGGAAAAGGTATTAGATGCTTCTGAAATTGAATCCATCAACAAGCCTTTGAAGAAGCACAGCCAGTAGGTATCAATATCAGGAATATAACCTGTAACAAACGATCCCTTTCTCTCTCCCATGATACTTTCTCCAAGTACCACGATTTCATAATAATTTAAATCAACTAATTATATATTTAATTATAGTTGATTTCCAAAGGTTACCAACCTGCTAAGATTAAATTTTCTATTAAGTAAAATAAAACAGTTTCATGATACATGTACTTTTTCTTGAACAAAATAACTTTCCTGTGCCCCCCGTCTTCCCCTCCTCCAAAGTCTGACTATGAAGCTGAGAGTCTTGACACAGGAAATTCATGGATTTATTCAGATCTAGGACACTGTATTAGGAAATGCATCAACGTCTACAAGAAATATTCCACATCATCCGCACGACATCATTCCAGACAGTCTGCGATGCAACAGCCTGATCAGATACAAAATATTGGAATTAAACAGTTTCAAGGTGGTTGATGGCTGAAACCATAACCATTTGATCAGCAGTTGGTTGAAACTGATCACACAGAGATCTCATTAAATATTCTTATGATATTTAACAGTTAAAACAAGCCTTTGGCAAAATTGCATGTGTGTGTGTTTACAGTAAGACTTCCCTACTCTTAATAAGTGTCTCCAGTACGTTAAGCAAGTTGCACCTACGTTGCCTGCTCACACTTAATTGTGAACCATTTCTGCTCTTTCTGACACTGCTGCTTACAGGGCAAAAGCGAAGACCAGCAAAGCAGCCTCTGACAACTTCTGCTGTAATATGTGATGCAAGTTACTCATTATTTCATATAAAGTCACAGACATTACATACACAAACTATTTTCCTTAATTATAGAAGTAGGCTAATTTTTTCTCGAGGCGCAAAAACATCAACTTTCAAATGGAAAAAAGGAAAAAAAATAGAATAACAGACCATATAATTCTACCTTCTGTAATTTAAAAACGCTTTATAAATTTACTGCAGTCTCAATTTAGTTTTACTTTGCATTGCCTTGTCCCTTCATGAGAGCAACTATTCCCTGTTTCACTCCACACCTATGTCTGGAGAACTGGAGTATTCTCTATGTCTCTGCTTGGAACAACAGAGCTTTTATGAAAAGCCAACTTCATTTCTGTTTATCCTGGTTAAATGCCAAGAACTACAGAACACTCTTAGGTATGCTTTACTAACTGCCAGACTGTGCCTACCTTACCTACGACTGTGCACTAACTTGTTTTATTTCTTATTCACTGTCTAAGGAAGAAATGAGCAATTCATTAATCAGCATGGTAATTGAATAAGAAAGACTCTCACCTCCACGATTTCAGTGCTTGAATACCTCGTCAGAATGTGCTCTGCTGGATGAACCACTGAGACTTGTATAAACGTATTCAGCTTCCGATCACGGGTAGCAGCCACTAGATCCTTGCACGCTGGAGACAGCACAAAATAAAAATACTCAAAAGAAAACTCTGGGAAAACACTGTAAACAGGCAGAGGACAAAGCAAACTACACTCCGGCTCCAGACCGAATCTTCAGAGACGAGCCGATTTAACAGAGGAAGTGCCTTGGAAATAACTTACTGAAGTAGGAAGTCACATGCCACAGGACTGAATCGAGATTTCGTTTCCACTAAAAATACTTGCAGCTTCTGCAAAGCTCCCTGCCAGAGGCTCATCAGCTCCGGTATATGAATGTGCGTGTGCATACGCACACACTTACACACACGGCAATAGTAGGTTATTTTACATAAGCGCTCATTTCATTTGCCACAAAATCTCTTTCAGCAGCCTAATTGGATCATCTGTTGTCTGACAATTTTCACAGTACCTGACCATTTAAAACACATTCTATACCGGTTAAATGCTATCAGCAATTACCTTAGTTTCTACAGTCTGATACTAAATTATCAACTCAGTAGTAGAATTATTCATAAAGTAAAAACACACATATCTAAAAGCACACAGCAAAATAACCAATTCTTTTGCCAATGACTAGCACATAAATAAGAATAATTGCATTCTGGCTGACACTCATTGCACCTAATAACTATAGAGAAATGCAGTTCTTGCTTAATAATTCATTTTCAACCTGGACTCACAGTCATGCAGGCGACCGACTTCGTTCTTTAGACTAGCAGACCTCGTGCCTTCTAACCAAAAGGATGGAAGCACCAAAGAAAAAGAGGAAACAAACAAATGCACTAATGGGGCATGCATTGACCCAAAAGGAAAACCCAACCACCTTTCATTCTTCAATAAGGAATACACAACTGTGAATATTGTGATAGGATCTACGCAGTGGTTTCTGCAGGGCATCAAACTACACTGCGATCTTGGCAGCCTGAGGGAAGAAAAGAAAAGCCTATGGAGGGGCTAATTGTCAACAAAAAGCCGAGGACATTTTCTAGGAGTCGCTGCCAACAGGGGACTTGAAGTGCATCTGACCTTTAGCTTTTTTTAAAGGTGAGTCAGATTATCCTCACAGCAAGCAAACCTGATTTGATGAGAAGCAACAGTAAGAAAAGCTCCAATACACACAAAAGGCTAACTCAGCTTAGTTTACATATTTTTTTTCTTTGGGTTTGGACCTGCTGCTTGAAGAAATAAAAGGGAAACTGGCTGAAGCTTCTTTATCCGTCTTCCACAATAGTTAAAGGAAACAAGGAAACAATTAAATCTACCCTTCACAGAATGTTTTCAAGCTTTTGCTCTAACCTGTATTGCCCATGAAATCTCTTAGTAGACACTCATAAATGGATCCTATTATTATTTAGTGGTAAAAGTGGGATGAGAATATGAATTTATGCATGACGAAGTCATTATGAAACAGCCAATATAAGAATATCACACTCTAATCCAAGTTACCAGCAATTCCTTGCTACTAAATCTCACCAGATTATTGAAATGACTCCATGTATTAGGACCCTTTGAATTGACCTGAAGAACTACATAAGTAGATTTTCTGAAAAGCAGTTACCAAAGCACAAAAGGTTGGGCAGACACTTAGCTATTTGAGCTATATCGTCTCTAAAGCTCACCACAGATGCAGTATTAGATCACTGAAATTACCAGAAACAGCCATTTCCCTCCCCACCTTGCAAATCCTGATCTTAGGCCACCTCCCAATCCTAAAATGTTACACTCTATAACCATATTTTTAGAATATAGCACATAAAGCACAGTTTCAGAGGAAATGGCAAGAGTACTAGGTTCACTACCAGAAGCTGGAACACTGGCAGATGTAGTTAAATTTCTCACACCCACCACAAAGGGAATCTAGCCAGCTCGCAATTCAATGGACCTCTGAAGATGACAGGAATACACCAGAAAGGAAAAAGCAGAATGAGACAGAAACTTAAGAAAAACAAAAGTAAATCCCCCCCAAAAACCCCACCAGCAGCCCTGGCAGGAAGTTGACAGCTGAACTCTTGTAAAAAGTCGTAGTGCTTGTTGAATGAAAGTAAACCCCCCACAAATAATAGCTTGATTTACTTGTGGGATGTCTCAAATACATGAACTATATGTGACTAGTTCTTTCAGCAGCCAAGAGCACAGGTTTTTATCCTATTGATGAACCTTAAACAATAGGAAGAAGATTTGCATTTATCACCACTTCGATGATATCTGAGCATAAGCAACAATTTCTGTGGTAGTAGAGCAATCCAGTCATTAGATTGTTTTCCTGTAACAAGGCAGCTTAGCAACACGATCTTGAATTTCACTGGGTAGAGATGACACAAAGATAATTGAACTGCCTATCTCCAATGAGCACAAAATATCAGAGCTCTTTGGGAGGTTCCAGCACAGAAGGATAAATGAAATCAAATGAAACCTGCATCTACTTTTACAAGTTATTTGTCTCTGTTGTGACACTGGGTTAACTGCTGTTCGCAGCTACCCTTTTGGCTAGAGAAGATAATGACTAAGGTTGTCAGTGGCAGAGACCTAATTGTCTGGTGTGACAGAGAATTTGTCAGTTTGAGCCACAGCACATAACTTTCCTTAAAAACAGCACAAACAAAATGTTTAGCAAAACACAAGGAGTAGTTCTAAGCAGACACCTAAATATCAAAGTTTGTTATATCCTGTTCACAGCCTGGCATGTTCCACAGTCCCACACTGTGTTACTGCCCGTTGAACTCTCTTACTAGCAGTATCTCTGAAAATCTTGCAAAACACAAGGAGTAGTTCTAAGCAGACACCAAAATATAGAAGTTTGTTATGTCCTGTTCACAGCCTGGCAAGTTCCACAGTCCCACACTGTGTTACTGCCCTTTAACTCTATTACTAGCAGTATCTCTGAAAATCTTACGTCTTCTCAAAGAAACAGTTAACACTCTTTGGACCAA